AGTAGATTCTTAATTAGACACTACCAAATATCAAAAGAAGCATTTTCTACCCAAGGTTCAAAAATGGAAACAAATTTCATGACAAATTATCTTAACCTTCAAGTCTGGTAAAAAGCTAACACATTCAAATATTCCTCTGTTGGATACAGATGACCAAAATGGTCTCTTCCAACACATTTATAGTTCAGCTGTGATGAGAGAGCTGTGAAGAACAATCGGGATGCGGGATCATTAGCTCAGTAAGACACGCAGCGACACAGCAACAGGAGCCCAAATCACGGTTGTAGAGGGAAAGAGATTTTGACAAAGGGGAACGATAAAACAGTGGAAGGAGAAAAAATATGATGAGGTAAAATCTTTTGACAGAGACATTTCCCACACAGCACAAGAAAAAAGAATGGAAATGGGGAGAGGCAAGAGGTAACTTCCAGAAAGAAGCAAATCAGAGAAATGCTAGATTTTGCACGTAGAGCTCCTAAAATGGCAAACGACTACTCAGAGGATACAGAAAAGTGCAAGGGGGCCAAACTCCACTGTCCCTTAGCCAAATCAGAACACTGTACCTCATCTTTTACAGTGGGGGACATCCACAGACCCATGTGTCAGTGGTAGCCATGATCTAATCACCCCTCAACACACACGGGAAAAGTTCTCATTTTTTAAGGTGTGTTCAAAGACAAATGCCCTTAACCAATAAAAATGAAAAACAGCCACATCAAGTTCTAAAAATATGCTTTGCAAAAAGGTTAATACTCAGTATTTTCCACATTGACTTCCAATTTTAAAGCAGATAAAGCTTTAAAATCTTAGGGCCAAATACAACAAAATGGGTAAAACCTCTTCCTTTTTTTGCCAAAGATTTGAGACATACTCATAATAATGACCGGCATCACAAATAAAAAAGAGCCCTTTAGCCAGGCATGATGATGGCACACACCTGTAATCCCAGCATTCAGGAGGTTGAGGCAGGAGGATCACTGCAAGTTTGAGACCAGCCTTGGCTACATAGTGAGTTCAAGGCCAGCCTGGGCTACATAGCAAGACCCTACCTCCAAAAAAAAAAAGCCCTTTATGCTGATAGGCCTGGCACAGAAGCCCCCTGCAAGCCGTTGGTTTCTCCATTCCATTATTACCCAATGGTCCGACCAAAGACCCAAGAAGGCCCAGACCTCCTCCCCAGAGGAACTATCAGTAAGGAATGACCGCTGGGCAAGATGGCGCTGCTCTACGTTACTTCACCAAGACCACATGTGGGAGCTTGGGAGAGGAACTTGGCTAGACAGCCTTCTTCAAGCAACTCGAGACAACACCCCAAGCTCTTCTTCTGAACACCATGTGTTTCTCTCCTGCTTTTCCGAAATTTCTCTTCCACTTCACTAAGGATAGACTGGTGTTAGAACTTGATGCAACCTCCCTGTGCAGCAAAGATAGAGGTGCTGCCTGTATCACCTGGCCAAGGGCAAGAGACTGAATTTCACAGCACCAGAGTCCTACAAAGTAGACAGGTCACCCATTAGGTCTGAGTCAGTTTCAAGGGTGCCCCAAATTTACTTCCTGCCCTGGACATACCAATTCTCACACTTGCCTACCAAAGAACCTCTAAGAGAAGGGAAGAAAACCCTCCTCTTTGGGGAGCACAACCTGTGTTCAATTTTAAAATCCACACAAATCTTGTAGATTCACCCATGATAAATCCTGGCACAGTTATTTCTCATACTTACCTAATAATCCAATACCTGTACATGTACACACACGTGGACATGCACATTGGCACATACATGTTTTTCCCAAAGTAAAATTCCCAGCCCCAGAAAAACACAATGGTATTTTGTGGCTCTGCACATCCACAGGGACACACCCACCCCAGCTGAAGAACCAAGAATAAATCAAAGAAAGAGTATATTTTGAAAGTTAAAACTGCTTTGGAAGATTAATAAATAATTTGAAGATTTCTCTAAGGTACCACTCTTAAAATACTGACTTAATGACCAAGTACAAGACAGCTGCCCTTCACAGACTGTTTTCAACGGAAGCCTAAAGGGAGGTGATGGCTTTGTAAGTGCCTTCCCCCCAGCACTGCAGCAGCAAGAGGATCCGGGCTGTGACTCCTGGTGTGGTTTTCTGATTTCCTCTCCCATTTCACATCTAGTTGTTTGACAGATGTTTTCTGGAGGCCAAAGCAGAGCGTCACAGGGAAAGCAAACCACTGTTAAGCCTTTGACTGTCTGACTTCATTCCTTCAACAAGTATCTGGGCTCCCTTCAGCTGGCCAGGCAGCTGTAAGCCCAGATGCTGTCTCTGTGCAAACTGGAGTACGGCATGTCCTCTGCACAGACAAACCTACAAGCAGGACCCTCTGCTCCACAGACTCGCCTCAGTGGGGACCCCTGGTGTCGACGCCTTGCCCACTGTAGTAAATGAGACAAGGTGCCTACTTTAGAAAGTACAGATTCTAAGTGAGGCAGCCAGGCAAACACACATTCAGTTTTCAACATTTTCTACAGGACCCTGAAAACTCAGACTTTATATACTATACTACACTTAATATTTTCTCCAAACAAATCTCCACCTTATTTCACACTGGTTCCATAATCATTAAGCTGAACTTGGGCTCAAAACATCTACCTATACCAACAGAATTCTGGGACGTTTTTAGGTAGAAAACAAGCACTGTTTCCAGATTCAAGCAGGCCAGAAATTGACCGCATTTTCAAATACCACCTTATGGTAATTAGCCAAATTTATCTCTCCAAGTAACATTTTCAATTAGTCTATTTTTTTGTGCCATTTCTTACCTTGTATGTACATGCTTGAGGTATATTTTTCACTTACGGTAATAAATACAGTCATGCACTGCATTAACCAGGTTTCAGCCAACAACAGGCCACATACCCCACAGGGATCTCATCCAATTGCAGTGGAACTTTAAAATTCTTATCACCAAGTAACACCCTAAAGATTGATGGTGAACCTTTTAGAGCGTTCAATGATAAACAGCTGGCTATGGCCCATGTGCCACAGGTTCACCACCACTGCCCTGGAACAAAGCAACATTCACGTTTGCAATGACGCTAGAATAAGCAAACCTACCGCGTGGCCAGTCATGTAACAGTAATGCAGACAACCATGCACACTAGTAATATGATAATAATAACTTCGCTACTGGGATGTGTATTTACTATACTATACTTCATTAGAGTTTACTTCTCCTTATTTTTTTTAAAAAGTTAACTGTAAAAGAACTTCAGGCAGGTCCTTCACGAAGGATTCCAGAAGACACTTGGAATGACAGCTCCACGCATGTTACTGTCCCTCAAGACCTTCCAGGGGGCCAAGATGTAGAAGTGAAATCAGGGACATTGATGATAATGACCCTGTGTAAGGACTAACCCAATGTGTGTGGTTTTGAGTTTTTAACAATGAAGTTTATAAAGGAAAACAAATTGTGATTAAAAAATGCTTACAGAATAAGTATATCAAAAAAAAGAATTTTTTGTATAGCTGTAGAATTCGTTTCAAGCTAAGTGCTAAATGTCAAAACTTTCTTAATTTATAAAGGAAAAATGTTATAGTAAGCAAAGGTTACTTTGCCACTGAAGAAAGAAACACTTTTATAAATGTAGCGTATCCTGAGTTTACAAAGTCTGCAGCAGTGTTGGCAATGCCCCCAGCCTTCACAGTCCCTCCCACTCATTCACTGACTCACCCAGAGCAACTTCCGGTCCACAAGCTCCATTCATGGCAAAAAAAGGGTGCACCACTTTTTATCTTTTTTACCATTCTTACTCTACCTTTCCCATGTTCCCTTTGTGTTCCAACTACCTACACGATTGAGTATAGTAACTTGCTGCAAATTTCTACACCCCAGGAGCAATAGGCTATGCCAGAGTGTGCTGCAGGCTAAGTACTGAGGTTTGTGTAAGTACACTTACTGATCTTTACACAACTATGAAATCACCTAATGGCACACTACCCAGAATGGGGCCCTATCATTGGGTGACGCATGACTATCTTTCATAAAATATTTTATTCATTTTGGAATTATTTGCTTTAGCCGTTCTTTGCGTCATACTTCTATATTCTTATCTACTAAAGTTAAATATAAAAGATAATTGCTATTCTCAATTGATAGAATACACTGGCATAAAGTAAATCTTTTAAAACAAGATATATTACTTTTGTAATTTTTTTTTTTGCTATTGGGGATTGAAATGAGGACCTTGCGCATGCGAAGCAGGCAGCGGAACCACTGAGCTAAGTCCCTGGCCCTACTTTTGTAATATAAAAGTATTTCTTTACATTTAAGAAAAACATTCATTTTTTAGTCTTTGTATGAAATGTGTTGTTATTATACGTTTTTGTTTTGTTTTGTTTTTGTTTGGTGCTGGAGATGGAACCCAGGGCCTCAAGCATGCTAAGCACACCCTCTACTACCAAGCTAACCACCAGCTCTGCATGCTTTTTTTTTTTTTTTTTCCTTTGGTACCAGTGATTGAACTCAGCTCCTTGCGCTTGCACAGCAGGCAGTAAAACCACTGAGCTAAATCCCTGGCCCTCTGCTTATTTTTAACCTGATGCTTCCTCATGGAAAACGTTGTCCAAACATGGTCTGGGCAAATGTTTCAACTACAACTCTCTTCACTTCTTTTCTTTCTAATGTATCTTATAGTGCAGTACAGAAAAAATTCTCAAAAGAATTATCTATAGAAGAATGAAAAACTACACGTAAAATTCACCCAGGTGGCAAAGAACATCAACCATTCATTTCAGATTCCTCAATCTGAATGAGTCCCCTTAGGAAATAATTAACCTGTTTTTAACACCCATAAATGTCTGGGACTTATTAAGTATCTCCTAACAGACAGGAATTGTTCAGGGCAGGTAGAAACAATAGAGAAATAGAGCTGGCCACGAAGCAGGGTCTGTATCCCAAGACCTGCCATCCCTGGCACCAAAGACTTTATTAAAGGACATAACTTCTAATGAATTCAGAGCCTTACCTCTTAGATTTCTGGGATGAATCTGTTTTGTTCGAGGCATCTTCTTAGATTCAGGAGCTCCTTTTTTTCCTTAGAAACGATAGGAAGAGCAGGTCCCAAAAAGGTGGCTCCATAAACTCAACGTACATCAATTAATCCATGTGCTAAAAATGGAAATAAAACAAGATGCATATTTTATTACCTTCAAAGGAAAAACATACCTTAAAAGTTACAGCTTAGTACATCATTAACTTAACTCAACAAAAAGAAACCAAGCTGGGCACCACTGCAAAACTTTATTTTTAATTAAATATAGGACAAGTTGTTTTGCCAATATCTGGCCCTTCTCATTAGGAAAACAGCAAAAAGAAATCTCTATCACACAGGACTGAAAAACTTCACTGTTCTACCATAACCTTACCTGCTACGATGGTAACCATCAACCTACAAAAGGGTTATGGCATATACAGTCCATTTGCCCATTCCTAACAGTGGGCGCCACATCTCAGTCACCTTAGAGTTTGGTTAACATGCATGCTTATCATGGCTGCTCCCTATTAATCGGTCCTCCCTTGTAGACTCAGGGTAGAACTGCACTTTCTTCCCTTGTGTTAAGGTACAACACATGACCAGTTCTAGCCAATGACCTGTGAGTGGAAGACAGACATGCTGCCCTTCCAAGCTAGAGCATTAGTCACCAGGGCAAGATGCAGGAGAGAATTCTGACCCCTCTGACTCTGGACCAGCACCTTCTGGGCAGCAATTCTGACAACTCAGAGCTGAACTGCCACTAACTCACCAAGATCACAGAGCACAAACAAGAAATAGCTCTTTGTTGTTTTAAGTCACTGAGATTTGGGAGTTATTTGTTACTGCAGCATAACCTAGGCTGTGCTGACCTATACATTTTTAAAAAGTGATTTGAAATACAATATGTTAAGCTGACAATTATTTTAAACCTGAGCCACTTCTCTCCAACAGGATTCTTTCTCAGTGATCCCAGACCTAAAATTTTAGTTTTAACTTCCTGCAATAAAGCTGATAAGCAAAGCCCATTATGCTGGCACTAAATATGAAACAATGTTTAATCACTAAACAAACACACAAAAATGGAACAAACTGCTGTGGTAAAAACCTGGCACTGTATCTATTACTAACCAAGAAAAAAGAGCTCACTGATCCCTACTATGTGCCTCTGTACTTTCTACATAATATTACATTTAATCCTAACAGTAACCAAGGCAGCTTTCATGTTTCCATTTACAGAGAGAAAGAAAAAAAATTGGGGGGAGATTAAGTAACTTGCTCAAGAACCCAAACTGAAGAATGTGGTACCTCATGACTCAGTTTTTCTCAGTGCCTATTTCCTTAGAGAAGGGAACACCTACTCTCAAAGAGAGTTGATTTTCTTTTTTTTCCAAGAGGCTGCCTGGCGGCATACTTTGTTGTCAAAGCAGACTGGATTCAAGGCCAGGTTTTACCCAATACTGTGTGGCCTTATTCTGGTACTTAACCTCTCTGAAGATCTGATTTCCCAACTGTAAAACTAGGAATATTATCCACCTCAGAAAGCTGGTATAAGGACTAAACATTGTAGAAGCTTTGCCTATGCACAAAACCGCTGAAATATTAATTCTCCTTAAGAAAGTCTGTATGGGAAAGAACGTGTCTAATATCCTAACAAGGTTTTAGAAACGTATGTTTTCATTTTAGCCAAGAAATAGAAAGACTACAACTAACCTCTGAATTTCATTCCTGAGGCAGCTCTATGTGGACACAGCACAAAGATACTCGCAATTTTTAAGGGCACTAGGAAAAATATGAAATATGATGCCCAATACTACTTATATTTCACCAAGCACTGTGCTAAGAAATAAGATATGGTTTCTCAACACCCTTCACTAAAGAAGCAATCTTTCCACTGTTGGATCCAGGATGGTTCTGATTCAACAGTGAATTTAAAGACTAAATTAGAGTTAGATACATTGTGTTTGCACTAGGCTCCATTCCTTGCTAAGGCTTTTAAATGGTCACGATATTGCGAAGTTTTAAAATCGTGAACTCCGATTTGTACTCCCATCATGTGATCCGACCCAAGCAGGAGCATAAATGTAAAATATGCAAATTTCCAATCTGTAACGGGTTTCTGCTACCCCACTCCCTGTCTACCCACTGTCCCTAGCTGTCCATCCCACGTTTAAATCCTTGGGGGGAGGGGGAGGGAAATGGGTATGTTCAAAGAGAGCCGCATTGTAGTGAACTATGGCGAGTGATAAATGGTTACTTTAGGAAAAAAATAAATACTACATGGAGCAACACAGGACACGATCAGAAAGTGTAAAGACAGTTTCAAGGAGAAAAAACATGAATGAATGTGGAGGGCGGAGCCTGGGAAAACCCCTCTGCAACGCTGCACTGAACAAAGCGCTTCGAATGCCAGGAGGAGGGGGCAATGGAAGTGCCAGCCCGGGAAGCAGCCTAGAGTGGATGCGGAGAGCAGGAGGCGGAGGACGAGACGAGGCGAGCGAGCGGGGGCGGCCCCGAGACTCCTCCACGCCGACAGCTCGGCCGCCGCCCCCTCCCCTCTGCAGCCCGCAACTCCAGCCCCAGCCAGGGCCGCCCCCCGGCCCGACCCGCACCCCCAGCCCAGCCGCTGCTGGCGCGCGCTCCCAAGCCAGCCCAACCCGGAAAGAAACTACCCAGGTGGCCGCGAGTAAACAGGCACTTGGAGCTAGAACGAAAGGGAAAGCGAGCCACAAAGCCGGGAGGTTGGGCGGCCGAGGCCTGGTCTCCCTCACCCCCACCCTCCTGCAAAAACTGCGTCTGCGGCGGGAAGGTTGGGTCGCTCCGTACCTGCTGGGCTCGCAGCACCGCAGCTCGAGCAGCTCGCGAGCGGCCGGGGCGCCCCGAAGTGGCGAGCGGCGCCCGCGCGATGCCATCCCCTGCAAGGTCGGCGGCGCCACGC